CCCCTCTTCTCCCTCCCCCCACGTCCCACCCCGTTGTCCTACTTACAAGACAGTGTAACAAATTATGAATGAGCTCATTGTCTTGGTGGTGATCAAGGAAAAAGGTCAAGGCTAAGTCGCGGGTCTGGAGGAAAACTTGTGACATTTGCACATTTGACAGGAGAAGGAAAAAAACGTTGTCATTTCAACAGAACGCAGTTCTAGGATCCAGAAGGAAAAAAACTTTCTCATTTCAACAGAACGTAGTTCTAGGGTCCAGAAGGAAAAACTTTCTCATTTCAACAGAACGCAGTTCTAGGGTACAGAAGTCACTTGTAGAGTAGAAAACACAAACACAGGCTCATGTTGTCAACCGTTTTCTTATCAATTTTTTCCTTTCTTCTTAAATCAAACAAAGTGTCACTTAGAATACTTTTTTTCTGAACAAAAGTGTGAGGAAAACTGTTCTAAAGCGTTCTTTGAATAGCTTCGTTTGTTTTTGGCCGAGTCATTTGAGAAGAAAAGTATTGTAACTGTTACGGACTGTATTTGGACCAGGTACCTTGTAACGGCAAGCTTGAACATCAATCAGGAACTCAGGAGTCTCGTCCTGGGTCGAACATGATGAAGCAGTTCATTCATGATCAATATGTCAAAGGAACAATATCTACACAACATGTTAGATTATTTACATGATACAGAATACATGCCTTCATTAATAATTGACACTCACACGTCTCAGTCATTCTCACATAGAATAATACAACACCAGCCTAATAGTAAACGGTGGCAAAGAATATGAAATACTAACATGACATGTTAGGATATGAAAATGACATAATAAACAACAAGGAAGTGTTTCTACGAAGGTGAACAACTTAATAGCCAATGTCCTGCTAAGGGAATGAACCACGAGCAGGTCTAATTATTTCCCTTACATAACTAACGTACGCGCTTATGTTCATTTTTTTCCATTTTCTCCCATTGGTTGCAATTATAAAACGCTTTCCTCAAACTCTTTTCTCAAGTTGGAGATAGAATAGTTTCCAGGGGCCGTAACTCTGTCAACTTGAAAGTTACGGCTCTGATGTTTTATCCCAAGTAGTGTCCCTTGGTGGAAGTAAGTCCGGGAAAAATCTCCATTTGGGCCGACGTGTCACCGTTTTTTTCCCACAATAGTTTTCCTCTAGACCCGTGAATTATTACAACTGTATCTGTTTAGTGTCCGGGTGAGTGACCTGTGGTGGCGGGGCTTCATGGCCCGTCTGTCTGTTGACCTAATTTCTGTCTGTTGACCTAATTTCTGTTTGTTGACCTAATTTCCCCTTTGTTGAGCAGTGGGTGATGTGTCCTCTCTCTCTTGTTGTTCTTGTCCGGCCGTCCATTGACCCCCTCTCTAGATCACCGGCCCACTCGCCGACCCCCTTACAGGCCCACTCGCCGACCCACTCGGCCCACCGTGCGCCCCACTCGCCGGCCCACTTACAGGCCCACTCGCCGGCCCACGCGGCCCACCGTACGCCCCACCCACCGACCCACTTACAGGCCCACTCGTCGGCCCGTTGTACGGCCCACGTGGCCCTCTTGGCCCACTCAGCGACCCACATGGCCCACCCCCAGACGACCGGTCAGCGGGAGAGGAAGTGGGGGCTCGGGAAGCACGGGGTTCGACCCCCCGCGTGTTACTGTCCCTTCTACTAACTCCACCACTCACACAGAGACACGCCCCGGGGGTAAGGCTGCCACACCCACCTCAGTGGAATACGGTATCTTCTCTCGCTCTAGACGTATACGCTTAGGCCATCTCTCACTCTAGATGTATATGCTTGGGCTATTGGGCAGCCGGAGAGGCGGGCAGTTAATCTTGCATGGCCGCACAGAGGCGAATTAACAGTTGACTTACTGGTGAAAGATCTAGGCTCTCGCTTTCCTAACTCAATAGGTAGTGGCTAAATAGCTTCTTTGTTCATTTCTTTTTCTTTGATTTCATTTAGAAGTTGCAATTTGCATAATTTGTTGAAAGTTTTGCTTATTTAGTCATTTCTTTTATTTTGAATGAAGCCAGGAATATATGTATTTAAAGATAAAGCATCAAGTACTTTTTTCCATATCCTGTAATGTTTGAGTATGTTTGATAGAGATTGAGTTTGGCTTAGTCATTGTGAAAACATTTCGTAATAACTGATTTCTTTGACATTTTTCTGCTTGTTAAATGTTTAAAAAAACTTTTATTTGATGTGATTTTTGTGTTTTTTCTTTCAGTTTTTCCTTTTTGCACGATTGTGTTTTGTGTTTTGTGTTTTGTGTTTTTGTTTGTGTGGCTGAGACTGTGTTGTCTTGTGAGCTGAGGCATTTGGCAAGAGCAGCCTGTTCCGTTTTCTCATTCCTCGTTTTGCTGGATGGGACTTGACGGTTTAGCTAGGTGGAACTGACTTTTTTCTTCTGATTAACCTTTTTGAGCAATCGAACTTGACATTTTTTCTTCTGATAAATGATTTTGAGCAATGGAACATAACCATTTTTTTTTCTGATTCTCGATTTTGAGCAATAGAACTTAATTGTTTTTTCTGATGAACGATTTTGAGCAATAGAACTTAATTGTTTTTTCTGATTAACGATTTTGAGCAATAGAACTTAATTGTTTTTTCTGATTCTCGATTTTGAGCAATAGAACTTATTTGTTTTTTCTGATTCTC